TACTCTTCTCCATCTCATCCCTCTAACAACAAATTATCCCTTAGTTCAGCTTTTATCTGTCGCTTTTAGCCGTTCGTTGCAGTGGAGTAGTGTAGGAAAATGTTATTATTCATAGAGATTCCTAAATTTGTTTAAAGCTCCTTTGCATTGTAATCTCAAATTCTCGTACGACTACAGATATACAGAAGATGTTGGTATATCCAAAGCATGAATCTTTCAGATATTCTTTCGTGCTCATCTCTTCCATTGCGCAAACCAGCTGCCGCTAATAGGATTTTCATCGAACGCTTTTCTCAATGGAGACTACACCTTTGGATGAAATTGTAAAGACAGCCAACAAAGTAAGTGAAAATCGGTTTCACAAGAAATAATTGGTAGTTTCTAGCTGCCCATGAAGGTTGCAGTTGAGAAGTTTTCCCTTGAAAAGCAAAGTCATTCATTAGTAGTGGCTTAAGTGCTCTTTCTCGCTTATTTTAACAACATTCATAGCGATAATGAAAGATTCCTATGAGGGTATTAGTACAATCTTTACCTTCTTACATCAAAATGTTCCGGTAAAGAACACTAAATTCTTTCAGGGCCTACTCTTTCACTCCGTATCTATTGAAAATTATACCCTTGAGGATTGCCAGATTGCCTACCATGCTACTACAAATTCACTCATTCAAGTAAGTTTCCTTCGTTTCCTTTCCAAAATTAGGGATACGTTTCATTTTAAAAAAACAGTGATTATACTCAGAGAATATGTGCATATCGAAATTTACATTTAATGTTCTCTCAAATAAGTATGAGCTTAGAAAAGGCAAATTTCGGTTTTTTTTTTGGCAAAGTGGGCTGTTCTTGGGAGCTATAAATCTTTTATATCTACAAAATTCAAGTATTTTCTGGCTGTATCAGGGTTTGATTTTAGTTTTAAGGTTTAGGAACAGACAACACTGATTCTTTAACATTGCTAGGTAATAATCGGCCAAAACGCATGTCGATTGGCTCAGCTTTACAAAGTATCTGCTTATAACGGCATCTTGTGCTAATCTAAATCATCCCCCGTCTCTCCCCTGAATGACACGCATTACTCATTGGGTCGCTTGCTCTCTAAAGTTATTGGGATCGAAAATCACAAGAACTTAGGAAGGTACTATACGAAGAGTTATTAATAGATTGTAATCACGAGCTGTGGTGGAGAGAATAGTCTGCTGCGTGGGCATTAAGCCAATCATTCATTTCCCACCTCCGTCAGCAAAAAAAAATTCAAAAAAAGTCTTCGTTGATTGTAATTGTGCACTTTTGGCCCTAAGAAACCGACAGTGCGTCTTTTTTCTATCAGCTGACCCCAACCCTGATACAAAGTTACTCAATGTCAAAAATCTCTCTTTATTGCTATTTGGGATGCAAATCTGAAAAAAATGGAAATTGATAGCTAACAAAGCGTTTTGTTTGACTTTGTTGTCGATACTGGACAAGGATTTTCTGAACAAGTTGATCTACTGCTTAAGGAATTAATCTCACATGCTGTTAATATACTAAGGTGTCCCACAGGTGTTGAGACTAACATTTTCGAAGTAACTTTTCTATTAATGAATTATCAACAAAAAATAGGCGTTGATGTTGATGTTCACCTGCCACTTGCCCGGAAAGTCTGAGCTTCTTTTATCCAGCAGAAGCCGTTCTACTTTACTTACGCTTCGCATCATGATGGCTTCCCTTTTCAACGACTACGCGCTATGAAAAAGCGCTGCCTGTTTTTCCCCTTACGCCTGATTAATAGCTTTAGGATGGTAATGGCTGAAGCTGAAAGGAAATCTATGAATAAGGCTAAAGTCAATCTTTTGTTTGCATTCAGTTCCTCACTGTCATTAAAAATGTTCGAACAATGTACTTTTACTATGGAAGGTCAACGTTTTTTTCTTATATTATGGTAATGGGAATATTCCACCAACAGGCCTTCCGAGAACTTTGGAAAATTGTCTTAAGCTCAGTCCTACATAATTAAGGTCACCCTAATATAATGGGTTATAAATCAAAAAGTAAAGCTTCTGATAATGTTATTCACCCTAAACTTCGTAGAGATGAGCCAGAATGTGGACCTCAGCAGTACAATGTACGACGAAGCGACGATTTTAGACAAGCACACTTCAAAAATTCGCAATGCGCTTGCCTAGAATCAGGAGGGTCGTGGTTTTCCATTAAGGCTAAAAAAAACCTTGAAAAAAAGGAGTGTTACATGCTATTTTATGAGGCATTCATAATTGACGGATAATGTGCGTATTCGGAATAATGGAATTATGGATGGGTCTTTTTAACATTCTCTCCTATCTCAAATCTTTTTTTGTTCCAGACAATCCGATTTGTGCATATATTCTTCTGTTTTATTGGCGTTGTAGCCTCATCGCTATTCATTTTTGTACTGATCTCACGCTCTTCTCAAAATCTTCATGTGAATCTCCGACTCTCACTGGCAAGCTTGAGTCTGGCAGCATGGATTGCATGCACTCAACTGCTTCTTATCGCAGTGTACAGGTCAGTCATTACCCAGGTGTCATCAGAATTTTTTTCTAAAACTCTTAAGAACCTCCAAACAAATTGTTACAGCTTGATACAAACGCTTACTGAAGAAAATCCATGTAACACATTATACGAAGCGAGATGGTGTGCGATTGCAAGGTTAGTGCTTACTAACCTTGTTCAACCTCTAGCCGCTTTCGCTAACCTTGATTCATTTTAGATTCCCAGTGATACTTTCGATTTACGCCACGCTAAGTGGAATCCTCATCTTAGCTGTCGAACGCACCATCGCTACATTGAAATACAAAACTTATGAAGTTCACGGTTCACGGATTGTAGCTGTCATCCTTATTGGAGCCCAGGTTTGTTAGTCATTCATCTCGGAAGAAGATGACGTTATAAGGTTGCTTAATATATAAATTATTGAATTTGGAATTTTCAAGCAATGAGGTAAAAAATCAATT